CACATCTTTCCAGGTCAATACTGACCCATCCACCACCACCACCCTCTGGGTACAACCCCTAAGCCAATTTGCCACCCACCTGACTGTGTAACCATCTATGTCACAGTCACTCAGCTTATCTGTGAAAATAGGATGAGATACCATATCGAAGGCTTTCTTAAAATCCAAGTAAATGACATCTACCTCGATTCCTGCGTCTAAACATTTTGTGACCTGGTCATGAAAAGAAACAAGGTTAGTCAGACAGGATCTATTTGCTATGAATCCATGCTGGTTGCCCTTCAGCACTGTTTTTCCCGCTGGATTCCCACAAATATGATCCTTAATAATTTTTTCAAAGGTTTTCCTGAGGATAGAGGTGAGACTAACTGATCTGTAGTTACCCAGATTCTGCTTCCTCCCCTTCTTGAAAACAGGGACCACATTAGCCCTTTTCTAGTCTTTTGGGACCTGACCTGAGCACCACGAGTGCTCAAACAGCCGTGCCAGTGGCTCTGCTATGACACCGGCCAATTCCTTCAGCACCCTTGGATGAAGTTCATCCAGGCCTGCTGACTTAAAAACATCCAGCCCCTCCAAGTGTCCCTTCACTCAGTCAGCGCCAACAGTTGGTGGGCTGGTCTCCCTTTTGTGCCTGTCTATGATCCAATTGGGAGATTTGTCCCGATCCATGTTCAGGAATACAGCGGAAAAAAACCTCATTGAAGAGCTCAGCCTTGTCCCCATCTGCACTAATGGCCCTAGTTTGTCCTGTAGGGGTCCGATGCTACCCTGTGCCTTCTTTTTACTCCCTATATACTTGAAGAAAGACTTTTTACTGTCTTTAATTTTTGTTGCCAGTCTAAGTTCCATTTCTGGTTTGGCCTGTCTGACTGCCTCCCTGCAAGTGCGGGCCAAGTAGGTATGCTCTGCCTTGGTAGCTACCCCTTTTCCTTTCAGTGCATTCAAATTGAACAGGGCTCTTTAGGGAAAAGATTCTTATTGACACAGTCAGGTACTCAACTAATATTCTGGGTTCTGTCTACCTATTAACTTAAAAAAAAATCCTCTTATGGACCTTACCCTAGGACATTGCTACAAAACGTGGTATAAAATACAAGCTTTTATCACTAGGTATGATTAACTGTACATGATTTAATTATTTACTGATATGCTAAAAAATAGTTGTAAAATTCTACATTTTCATTAGAAATGCATGACTCATGATTTTTTCCTCCTGTTTTTCCCTTTAACCCATAAATACTTTGCATGACTTCACAGGGCACAAAAGGACTCTGCAAATGTGACAGAAAAATAATGAACTCCCAACACTTTAAATTACTGTCACTTTCCCTTAAATGAAAGTTCTGCCCAGATAGGAACTTAATTAAGAATCTTGCTAGTGGCTAGAATCAAGGATGAGTCATGCAACTGCACATACCAGAGGAACCTTGCTAATTATATCATTGCACCGAAGTGCTGAGAAAAGGCTGAACAGCATGTATCTGATAGAGAAGCAAGTACAGACAGCCTCTAGAGTCTAGTTGCAGCAACTGATGGAAAACTAGTCTAAGTAAAACACCTTCATTGTGCTGGCAAGGTAATTTTCCAGTTATACTTCATGACTAACTGGTAGTTCTGATGGGTCACGCTGGACATGTGGTTTTCCACAACCCTTAATCGAAATGATTCAATCTTTAACCTCTGCATGTGGAAGGCTATGAGGACATCAATGCCTGATGAACATCAAATTGACATAAATAAGTATACTCAAGTAGGGCACTTTCCCCACTACAAGTAAATGTCTTCCTACTTTTTTGCTGCATTTTGTTAACATTGAAAGAAAAGCTGTGAGATTTTTCTTCCAAAAGCAAAGGTTCTCCACCTGTGTAATGCTGTTAAGACAGAAAAGCCTTCAACCACATTAAATTTGATTTTCAAACTTCACTTAGCTTGGACAATGAAAGCAGCCTAGTCAATTCCACTTGCTCAGTCTCATACATTAACACACCACCACAGTTTTCACATGTGGTGCAAACCCTACAGGAAAGCGGGGGGAAAGGGAGGAGGGGAGGGATAACCAAGCCACCAACCCCAGCAATTTTTATCAACAACTCTACAGGAGACCTTGGCCATTCGCTGGGGATATGTTCTGGAGATCCCCGTAAATGGCGAAATCCATGAATACCGACGAGGCTCCCTGTCGGGCCCCACAGCCACCCCCTGCTCCCCCCCCACATTGTTCACGGGGCTCCCCCGCAGTGCCTGGGGACCAACCCCTTCCCCCCGAGCACTGCCGCGGCTGCTCTGCACAGCAGCAGCGGCAGAGAAGATGCCACCATTGCCACCTCCCTCCCTGTCCCCGGGGCTCCCCCGCAGCACCTGGAGACCGACCCCTTCCCCACCCAAGCGCCATCACGGCTGACTCCAGGAGAGAACATGCCACTGCTACCACCACCACCATTACCTCCTCCTTCCACACCCCTGGCGCTCGTTCTCTGCCCGCCTCCCGGCTCTGCCCTCCCCCATGAATATTTGAATAGTGAAGTTCGCGAATAGCGAGGGTTTCCTGTATATAGATGTTATGAAACTAACTTTAAAGCAATATGGAGACGCAGGCCCATGTCCTGCAAGGGTATCAAACTCATGGGTTTAGACCAAAAGTTTATCTTTGCCCACGATTACAACACAGCTATACTTACTTGCTCTGGGTTGCTCCCTCAATCAACATATTCTTCTTCATTCACACATACTGGTAGTTTTTGCAATATCTACCGCTGCGCACTGCTGTTGAATAGTTTGTTCCTACAAACTATTCAACTTAAGCCTCCAAGGACACAGATAAAAACGACAGCAATGCACACTGCCACTGTCCTTTACCAATGGCCTCGAATGTTCCATCCCTTCTGAATGCTCATAACAGCTGACATTATGAAGCCATTTGCATTCTGCTATACTGCACTGAATACTTTTTTCCCAACCTGCCAGAAACAACAGCTATTGAGCACTAGCCCTGTTGGTTCTCAGCTGATGTACTACACAACTAACAAGCCTGCAGAATGGGAAGATTTTAAGGTGGCTCTTCTTTCTCTAACCCAGTGGTTCTCATCCAGGGTGTTGCACTGTGGCTGCAGCCAGGTAAGACTACGCTGTGCACACTCCTGCTGCTTTCTGATCAGCCTAAAGCAGGCAGGAGCTAGCTCATCTTAGCCTTTCCTGGGCAGGCCCCTCCTACACTCCCCCAAGAGACAGGGGTTTACAGGACAGTTCCACTAAAGTACCCGTTTCTGGCAGGAGCAGGGGAAGGGGCAGGTGAACCAGGAAGGGCTACACAGCATGAGGTGGCTCCTGCCTGCTTTAGGCTGATCAAAAGTCCTACTGCATGAGGAATATGTATACATGCCACAGCTCTTCCTGGGCTGGCTGATAAGCAGGTGCCTGACAGTTTTATCACAAGCAGCAATACCCAGTCAAGTCAAGAAACACTGAAGTGAAGTGAGGCAGCACCAACAGTTCTCAATACGAGATGCTGCCAATTCATAGAAGTGGTGGAGGGGGAGCCCTGATCCTGAAAAGATTGAGAGCCACTGCTCTAAGCTGTACTTCATCAACGACTGGCCTGAAATTAGTGTAGCTGCATTGGTCAAATTAGACAGCGATAAGCATGTGTTTGCAGCTGTTGAAATGATGAGATCAGGGCTTTAACTGATGAACATAGCAATCATGACACAATCTAGAAATATCAGCAAAAGTCCATTTCTGAAAATAAATCAGGAGCATTTAATCTTTCTAAGCACTGCTATTAAGTGCTTGTAGGTCTTCACCAGAAGTTGTAGGAAAATAGTAGTTTATAGGTCTGAGCACACTCAGAAGTCACTACAGGGTCCTTTTGGCCCACTGTCATGAAAGACGAGGCTTCCTTTGAAAGAATATTATGCAGCACAGAGCACATGGGACTGGTTCAGCAGCAGAGCTCATTGGCTCATACAGCTCCACAAGCTGAATCCAGCGTTGGGGCCATATGTTTGGCACCCCAGTATAAACCAAATGCTGACCAATATGATTACAGTTTTCTTTAAATGCAGACTGGGTGATATTAGTGTCCATGGTTCGTGTGTGCTTGCTGGTCGGAGAGAGTGCGAAAGAAGGAAAAGGATCAAAATCCCAGCCGGCAGCCTACTTTCCCCTGCAGAAAGACCCACAACTTCTGTGGACTGGACTGAAGTCACCTCAAGACCCATCAATGAGCCACGGTAGAGATCATCCTTGAAAGGAGAGCCAGTTGACAGCGACGGCGATCGGGAAGAACGAGGCGCAGTCCAGCTTCCTCCTTCCTGTTGAGACCAAAAAAAAAAATCAAACTAGCCAGAGTATACTGACTTTCTCGTGCTTTCACCCGAACTCTACAAACGCATCAGATAAAGTCAACAATCCCCATTCACTGCTTCCCGGGACGGGGGAGGGAGCCGGGCAGGGCCAAAGGGAGAGGGCAAATCCTGCGTCCGTGCCGGGGCCCTGGCTGGATGCCCCATCCGGCCTGAATGGGCGGGAGGCGGACGCCCGGCTGAGGTGCTCGGCTGCGCAGGGC